TCCTCCCCCCCCCCCCCCCCCCCCCCCCGTCTTGTGGTTGTTGTCTCAACATGTAAGTTCTCAGCTATTACTTAAGAGTTTTGTTTGCCTGCCTGCATACTCCTCACCATGGTCATGGGCTCACCATCTGAAACTGTAAGCAAGCCCCCAATTAAATGCTTTCTTTTGTAAGCTGCCTTCCTTGGTCATGGTGCTTTGTTACAGCAGCAGAAAAGTAATTAGGACCAAAACATACCAAGCAAGTGTTTTCAGACTGACTATAAGATTTTTACTCTGTGGAACTGTCCTGGAACAAATTTAAGCTTGCAAATAAACTTATTTATATTCCACAATTAGTGTAAATTTGTGCCAATGTATAATTTAAGTATTTGTATCTATTTCTCCACAGTGTCAATATTAACGGTCATTCTTTGTTAAACTTAAGCTGTTTGGGGCCTGACAGTATTGCAAAGGCTGTTTTAATTATAAGTTTCTTTGAATACAAAATTAGCAGCTTTCTTAAAAAGTCTTTTAATATCTTGGAATTTGTTGTATTCCTTGGATCATAAGGATCTTAAATATAATTTAGAAGTTTCTTACAAGAAAATAATATCAGCATGGATATATAATTGTATTGCTATATTATATGTCTTTGTATTATGGAAATATGATAGGCATGGACAAATACTGACATGATAAAAATAAAACTATATGTTCCAATTAAAGTTCTAGCAACATAAATGATCACTTAAAATCTCTCAATGGTCCCATTTATAAAATGGGCACAATATCTGTTCTGCCCACACAACAGACTCCTGAGTAATAAAATGCAACAATGTACATAAAAGCAAAGTAGAAGCCATAATTGGCCAAAACAGCCTATCTACACTTGCTCTAAATAGAGACTAAAAGGTATGTATCAAAAAGTATTCTCTCAGACCAAAGTCCCATTTCTGTAACAACCTAGGGAACCTCCTTTGATAGACTGAAATTAAAATGCAATCTATATATTTTAAGAAATGCAACTATGTCCTAACTTTAGATAAAGGAAGAAAAGACTCACATAGTAAAATCTACATTTCAATGTATTGCACATCAGTCAGAAACTGTAAATTAAGAAGCTAAGGGCCAGAATGTAGCTCAGCACAATATATTTTTAACATGGGTTAAAATCTGGAACCCAATTCTTTTTTAAAGGAGTTTAAGATGCTTGAACTTTAAGTAGCCTCATAAATATGACAGTTACATATCCAGACCTCTTAAAGACAAACATTAAGTTGGCAACACTGATTTTTCTCAAATGGTGAAAATAAAGCTCCAAAGAAAAAGCTTCAATTAAAAAAAGTTGAGTTGCTAGAATTGAGCTAGATTCTAATTATGCTTTCCTATGGGAATTATTAG